TATTATTGGTTGAGAAAAGCAGAATGCAGAAAAATATATATAATAACCCATTTTTATACAGTATGCAATAATTAAACATCTTACATATTACTGTGAATGTAAATATATGATCGTATGAGGATATAGGTCTTTATAGGATCATATGGGACAAAAATATGGAGGCCATCTAATGGGTTCACATGGCTTCCCTAGGTGAGGGAGAAAGGATGATGAAGGCCATGCTTATGTTATGGAGGAAAAAAAGGGGCCCCTGTTTATTTTTAAAAAATGTATAATATCCCATTTATGTAAAATAATTTAAAAACATTAAAGAGGAAAGTTATTTAGAGAGAAGTTCTACCAAAGTTTAACAATTGAGACTCACTAAATGACAATATTGCATAATTCCAGCACCATGGCATATTGTGAACAACAATCATATTCCAAGTAAAAATATGAAGTCTCAAGATTATTAACAAACTGCAGTAGATACCAAAATCTGTTTGCTTCTAGCAATATGGTGGACTCAGACAAGTTGAAAATCCTTTTACCATAATCACCTAGAAGTACTGGGTAAAATGTAACATAATTATTTGAAATGTGCAGCTAAGCTCACAAAAAATAAAAGCAAATCCCCAGGTGCCAGAAACAAAGAGGCAAGGTAGAAAGCAAGGGGTGAGTGCTTTGTGCTAATGGGGGAGGGTATTTGTCTCCAGAACCCAGGGGTTTGGTGTTAATTTCCACACAAGCGTAGTAAATGAAGCTTTGGAGGTAGGGAATTGGAACGGAGTATTTTGCATAAAGCCAAGACCCTTAAAGGAGTCTTTTATTTATGAAAAGATTTAAAAACAAGAGCAACCACAGGACATGGGGCTTTGGGTGGGAAAAAAAGAAAAGCTCTGTGAGAATTCAAAACCACAGGACCACAATTCACATTGCTTTTACTCTACCCACATAGTTCAGAAACTCCAGACTAAAGAGGAACAGAATTATTCCTCAAGCAGTGACACTACCACGGCCCAAGGCAGAAAGCAAACAAAAAAACTTCTCTGAAGAGTTGCGCCCACATCCCAAATATGATGGGATTTTACATAGGAAAAAAAAAAACCCACAAGCCCTACTAAGGAGGAGTTCAGAAGAAAAAACAGCCAAGCCTTTGAGGGCTGATCAAGAGTCTGCACATACAATTATACCCTCAGGAACGCTAAATACAGAGAGATAGCCAGAAAGAGATTATCAAAGAAATGCATATAAAATGAAGACTAGAAAGGAAGAAAACAAATCCTCATAGAACTAAACCCTATGAACGAAAGAGCCAGCAGAATTGAAAAAAAATTAAATAGGAGAAAGCCCATCATGTATCTCGGAATAAATCTTTTTGAAAAGACTGTAGCAGTAATGAAAAATTCCTTATTAAAAGACATTAGAGAAGACTGAAATGATTGGAAAAAAAATATCCCAACCGTGTTTATGGATAGGGAGACTTGATATATAGCAAAGACGTCAATTCTCTCCAGGTTCATCTATAAACTTAAGGCAGTTCCCAGCAAAATCCAACAGGAGATTTCATAGAAATCCTAAAATGTACACAGAGGATTCAAGGAACAATGAAAATTGGAAGACTAAAGATGGGGGTGGGGCTCACGGGAAGACTAAGCTGTAGTGTTTAAGTACATGAGCTCATTTGTGAGGGGACAGAGCAAGGAGACGTAGCTTAGAAGCAGAGCTTACATAGGACAGAGGTGGCATTTCAAATTAGTGGGAATGAACTATTCAACACCTGGTGCCTCCACATCACACCCCAAAATCATTTACGGTGGATGCAGGAGTTACAGGCTCTTGAAAAGCACTTTAAAAAAAAAAAAATTTTGGAGCATTTGGTTGATTCTCATTATTTGTAGCACTTGTGTTCTAGGTTAGGACGGTGACCACTGGTTTTGTGAATGCTGAAGCACTGCTTCCGGGGAGCACAGGGCTTGGGCCCTGCAGCCTCTGGTCACAAGATTTTCATCAATTGATCAGAAACAGACCTGGTTTTATGGAAGACACCTCACTTCATCCATGTAGCTGATTCACAGGGAACTCGGGCCAGCAGAGGTCTACCTCACACTGGAAGGAGGCTTAGCTAACACACCTGTTTCCTCCCAATGCCCCCCCCCACCTCCCCACTTCCCCCATTGCCTCCGCCTCCCCACATCCCCCATTGTCCCTCATCCCAATTTCCTGTCCCACCTCAGGGCCTTCTGGCACTTAGGAACAACACTAGAAAGCACATCAACACTACATTTGAGGATCAGTTTAACCAGTGAAATCACCAACACAAAGCACAGAAATACCAAAAAAATGGGGCACCAAATACACGGTGAGAAGGACGCTTGTTTACGGTATGAGAGCTAAACAGCAAGGCAGGGCATCACCTTGTTTGACCTCAGCTGGTACATGTTTGACTCAAAATTTCACTACCTTGCACACGGGCACCATAAATATTGATTTTGGGTTACAAATTTCAGTGAGTAGGTGACTTTGCAAATACAGAATCTGCAAATAATAAGCAGTGACTGTATCTTTGTATTGCCAGGATTGGAGAGAGTATTTGTTTTTGGACAAAATGCAAAAAGCACAAATTATAATGGAAAAGACTGGCACACTGGTTAAGTTGAATTTAAAACTTGTGCTTGGGCCTTGCAGATGCGGCCCCAGAGCCTTGCGCACCACCCAGCCAGCGTCAACCCCTCTGAATTCTTTGATATCACTGTAGACTGTGCTTGGCCCGCGTCTCCTATGAGCTGTTTGCAGACAAAGTTCCAATGACAGTAGAGAACTTATGTACTCTGAGCACTGGGGAGGAAGGATTTGGTTATAAAGGTTCCTGCTTCCACAGGATTGTTCTGGAATTTCTGTGCCAGGGTGGTGACTTCACATGTCACAATGGCACTGGTAGCCAGTCCATCTATGGGGAGAAATTTGATGAGAATTTCATCCTGAAGCACACGGGTTCTGGCATCTTGTCCGTGGCAAATGCTGGACCCAACACAAACAATTCCTAGTTTTTCATCTGCACTGCCAAGCCTGAGTGGTTGGATGGCAAGCATGTGGTCTTTGGCAAGGTGAGAGAGGGCAGGAATATTGTGGAAGCCATGGAACGCTTTGGGTCCAGGAATGGCAAGACTGGCAAACCAGCAAGGTCAGCATGGACAGATCTAATAAATTTGACTTGTGTATCTTAACTACCAGACCCTTCCTTCTGTAGTTCAAGAGGGTACCCCTTCACCCCTATCTGCTAAAAATATCCTATAATCTTTGTGCACCCGCTGAGGCTCTATGGGTTCCATATTTTCCTTATTCCCTTTCAAGCCTAGCTGGATTGCAGTTAAGTTTATAATTAGGAAACAAAAACTAAACCAAAAAAAAAAAAAGACTTTTGCTTAAAAATATGTGTCAGAATGAAACTTAAAACCTGCATTACTATACTGTCCACCTGAAACTAAGATAACACTATATGCTAACTAACTGGAATTAACATAAAAACTTAAAAATAGGGGATCCCTGGGTGGCTCAGTGGTTTGGCACCTGCCTTGGGCCCAGGGCATGATCCTGGAGTCCCAGGATCAAGTCCCGCATCAGGCTCCCTGCATGGAGCCTGCTTCTCCTTCTGCCTGTGTCTCTGCCTCCCTCTCTCTGTGTGTCTCTTAGAAATAAATAAATAAATAAATAAATAAATAAATAAATAAATAAATAAATAAATAAAATCTTTTAAAAAGAACCCCAAGAATAAATAACCAAATAATATTTAGGAAGCAAAAAAATAAAGATTCATCCTCGATGGCCAGTGATTGGACATTTCTTAAAACCACTATCCTGAGATTATCAGTGGATTTTTACATGAGATAATGGGGCAGAAGCTCTGCATACATCAGGTTGTCCACATTCAGAGGACTCATCAAGATTCTGTTCTTTTGGGAACCACTCTCAGTATGAACTTCTGTGTAAATTGGGGAGATACACACACACACACACACACACACACCAGTAGAAGGGGCTTATATAAACATGGGGGCTGGTTAAGCAGGCTCTGTGGACGCCCTACCTGGTGCTGGAGATTGAAGTCCACTGGGCAGGTAGTCAGGAGGAGGGGAAGATGCAAAGCTGGTTCAGACCTACAAGCACAAGGTGGCACCCCATGGGAACCGACTGAAGACTGAGTCCATTCTTAACCGTCTCTGACGTTGGTGATGGGGTCATCCTGCAGAAGCCAGGGCCCTTCATCAAGGAGCTAACACATACCTGGCTCAGGAATCAAAGAAGCTGACAGAGGATCCAGGGGAAACTTAGAGCAATTGCAGGCCACTTCAGGCCAACAAAGTGACTCAGCAGTTCAGCAACAGTGTGTGCGAGCTACACTCTAGCCGCTACTTGCCTTTGCCTTCCCAATCACTCAAGGATCTCCCTGGCCACCTACCTTAACCAGAAACATACAAGAATGGGAATTCTGAGAAATGCAGTTCAGCCTAGCCAAATTGTCACATTGCAAAGCCATCACAGTCTTTAACGGCTATGTCTCTTCAGACCCTCCTCTTGTTCTCGAGTTAGCTTTAGTAAATTACATTTTTCTCTAGGAAACAGTCCATTCACCTATTTTTAAAAATGGTAGCTCACAGTATTCTTGTAAACTATTTTTAGCAATTTCTGGTAGAGCTACAATTATAGCCCTTTTCACTCATTAATATGGTTATCTTCTTATGTTGTTTCTAGTTCAATTGCATTATGATCAGAGAATGTAGTATCTTTGGTTGCTTGGTATTTGAGATGTTTTGAGGTCTAATACATGATCAATTTTTATAAATGTTCCGTGTGTGCTTGAAAACAATGTGTATTCTCTAAATGTGTGATTCCAGAGTACACACACACACACACACACACACACACAATTAGGTAGATTAATTTGGTTGTCCAAAAGTCTATACACTATTTTATTATATACAGTCAATTCCTGACATAGGTACATTAAAAATCTCCCTGTATCAATTTCTCCTAGTAGTTGCATCAATTTTTGCATTATAAGTTTTAAAGCTCTGTTATTAGATGCATATACATTTATAATTCTTCTATCTTCCTGGTGAATCATTCCTCTTAACATTCAGTAATGACCCCCTTTTATCCCTAACATTTTTTGCCTCAAAGTCTATCCTGTCCGTCATTAGTATTGCGACGGTTTTCATTATGCTCTTTTTTCCTCGCCCCCTAGGGGTTTCTTTTACTTTCTTGCCAGCTCAGATGTGTATTTAAAAAAGATATTTGTTATATTTTATCCATTGTTCCTGGTGTGTGTTCCAGACAGAGTTGTAGGATATCTAACCTGGCCTATTGATAGATTCTGAGGTTCTCAAAATTAGGAAAAAAATGAAACACATACTTGCCTTTAAAGAGAAATCTATTATGTTTGATATGCAATCAGAATAGCAGAATAAATTGCACAATGTATGCATTACCAAGGCCCCATCTCACCAATGAAAGTGTCAAACCATATTAACTGTAGGGCTTAATCTGAATTGTATTTACTTTGTGTCTCCAACAGACAAGAAAAAAATAGGTTTTATCAAACAATACACTCCCACAGCTTCCCCCAAGGATCTGATACAGCGCCCAACCCTCAAGGGAGGTTCCCCCACGATTGAGAATCACCAGTTTGTGGTCTCCAAAGAAGATTCCGTTTAAAGATGGAAATATTTTATTCCATTAATGGTTTGGTATTCCTCCTCCCATCCCTGAGTCACTCACACATGTTGCACTTTTCACTGGTGCTCTGTGGGTTCCTCTCAACACATTTCCAAATTGCTCTGGTCTCCTTGTCCAAGAGGCCAACAGTAGGCTCAAACCAGTTTCTACCCAGCAATGTGTGAGTCCTAACACTGGAGCCAAATCCTATCAGCTGACATTTAAGCTAGTCTTATCAATTACAGCCTTCTGGGGACTTCGAAAACCCATGCTATATACATCTGCTCGTGGATGAATGGGGGTCTACTTTACTACTAATTATGAATTACAAGGGTTGTGGAAAAGATGGCATCAGTGATTTGGGCCCAACAGTTTACAAGGAGGGATAACTAATTCTTGTTAAGCAAGTTTGCTATCTGATTTGTTCACATTATCCAATTTATGTACTACATAGAAAGCCTTTAGAAACTCATTAAAGTCAATGCTTCCATCTTTGTTTAAGTCCATTCTTTCGGCGAGGTCATCAATTTGAAAGTCATCAATATGAATGCTGTAGTGACTATTGAAGAGTTTCCACATGGCACGAAATTCTTCCATGGAAATCAGGCCTAAGTGAATATAGAAGAAGGCTGTGAGTGGTGTAGTTTTAAGACCCCCCTAATGGAGGGGTGGGGAAGCTGTAGTGATTGAATAGTCCCAATGAAAAGCTCACTCACATGCTCCACCATCAAGACACCGAAGGAAATAGAAAAGTCAGACTGTCAGTATAAAAAACAATATGTCACTTTCAACTACCAAGTGATCCTGAGATTATTCCAAACTGGAATGAGTATACACCGAAGGGATGGGGGTAGACTGTGGTCTGTGGGACTCTGGTGGGACAGAAATTACAAGATCTAAAATCTAAGGGAAGGGACATCAAAGCAGAGGGAGAAGATACCCTCGCCCTCAATAAGAGGATTGCAAACAATGGCTCTGTCAAGTTTTATAGGCAATGGTTTACTTTCATATTTTGATTATTGACTTTTTGGTGTTCAATGATCTCTGCAGTTAGGGATTATCTGATTTTTTTTTTTAGAGTTTGAAAATAAGTAATTGTGCCTCAAAGCCAAGCAAAAATGAGTTTTCACGACCCTGAGCCCCAAAAACAGAATCAGAAGTCCAAGAATGATTTTTTATTGCCAGGAGTAACCACTATGTTTAAATGGCCAGGAAATGATCTTTTCATCTGTACTGGTGACTTATAAAAGGTCCTGTTCTTGTCTCATAGATACAGAGGCCTATAGGACCCAGAAGGTCTTGAATACATTTTGTGGACAAAGTAAAATAATAATAATATTAAACATGAGTTTATTCCTCCCACTGAGTTAAATCAAGTTTGGACGAAGAATGCAACAGATAAAAACAGTTCTGCTTTCCGAGAAACAGATTAGCCTTTGTTTTCTACTTCTACTAATCAAAGCGTATTTACCTGAGTGATCAGAGTCAATGACGTTAAAGATGATTTGCAGGTCAGATCGGTATCTGTACAGAGTTTCAATTAGAGTCGACTGAGCCTAAAATAAAGATGTTCTCAGTGTTAAAGAGAGAATTAATAACACAGGTCAATTTTAGTAAATGTAACAGATGCAAAACATTATTACCAATTCAACATTGGTGATTTAGAAAGCAAGTGCAAACTGCGTTCGACAGGGAACAGGGCCCAAGCCCATCAGAAGGGGGGGGAACAAGAACAGCCAACATTTACTGAGAACGCCGGAGTGTGGGCTCTGTGCTGAGAGTTTTCAATGGGTCATTCTATTCAGTCCTCAACCAGAGCCTCAAAGAATAGAACTATTATTATGGCCATTCTACAGATTAGAAAACAGAGAGGTAAAGTAAGTCTTCCAAGGTTCACATAACTAGTAAATGGGATCTGACTGTCAGCTGCCTGAAGCCAAGGCCTATGAATTTGGTAACCATGGTAAACTGCCTTTTAAGTGAAGCCAAAAGCCTCTTTCGTGTGGATATTTTACTCTCCCACTGAACTTTCCTTTTCTTCTCTTACCTTCTCATCTCCCCTGCAAACAATCACCCCACTCTTGGTTCCCATCAGCTCCCTTCCAGCCCTATGTTAGAACTAATTGCCAAAGGGTTGTTAACTAATAAGTATGGGGGGGGGTAGGTGGTAACTCTCCCTGGGGTATTACCGTTTTAAAAGGACAGTCTAAATTCTATAAATCTTTAAGGCATAAAATGTCATGTCAGCAAGTCTATACTCTTACAGTTTAATAGGGACTCTGTTGAGTATGTTAAGGGGAGAGTAGTATAAAAGAATGGAAGTCATATCTGCCCTTCTGTTGGACAGCATATCAGATAAGAATCATATATTTGACATGGATTTGCTTGCAGCTTTTCCTCCTTTTTCCATTTTGCCTATCCTTAGAAGGCACAATTTCCCCACGTGGATCACAATGTACCTGGGACAGCCCCCTCAGGCCTTTCCCAAAACTGTTCCACCCATCCATTAGTTGATTCCCACTTCTCAACTTTTCAAAGGACTAAGCTCTTAAGGGTGTTTTGCTCCAGCCACTTTTGTTTTGTTTTGTTTGTTTTTTAAGAGAGAGAGAGAACACATTCACAACAGGATGAGGGCTGGGGAGTAGCAGAGGGAGAGAGAGAATTTCAGAGTCCTTACTGAGTGAGGAGCTCAGTGTGGGGCTTGATCCCACCATCCATGAGATCATGACCTGAGCTGAAACCAAGAGTCCAATGCTTAACCGACTGAGCCACCCAGGTGCCCCATCACTCCAGCCAGATTTTAGCTGGGGCTACGTTTCACTTGCCTCTTTCACAGGTTTCTGAATGTGGATATCCTCGAAGCTGGACATGTAGTTGATATTTCCATTTTTGTCTATAGTTACCAGATGTGGACTCAGGGATCTCCATGGTAAGTTCAGTCCCAAAATGTTCTCCATGGAAAAAGCCCACTGGCCCATAGGAAGTTTTCCTAACAACAACAAAGCCCATATCATTGGTTAATAATTTGATAAAGAAATTCAACCTACTTGGCAGAGCCAGTGAGCAGCCTGGGATTTTGAGGCCTGGGTGCATCTTGTTTCCATTTGTGATTTGTCCCACCAGGCACCACAGCTCTGGTGTATAATTTAGTAATTCCACACTTCCATACATCATCTGGTGCTCATCATGACCAGTGCACTGCTTAGTTACCATCACAGGCTTCACCCATCGCCCCCCACCCCCCCAACCCCCAGTAATCTTCAGTTTGTTCTCTAGAGTTAAGAGCCTCTTTCTTGATTTGTCTTTCTCTCCCCCATTTTTTCCCTTTGCTTGTTTTGTTTTTTAAATTTCACATAGGAGTGAAATCATACGATATTTGTCTTTCTCTGACTTATCTCACTTAGCATAGTACTCTCTAGTTCATCCATGTCACTGCAAATGGCAAGATTTCATTTTTTTTTCTTTTAAAGATTTTATTTATTTATTCATGAGAGACACAGAGAGAGAGAGAGAGGCAGAGACACAGGCAGAGGGAGAAGCAGGCTTCCTGCAGGGAGCCCGATGTAGGACTCCATCCCAGGGCCCCAAGATCATGACCTGAGCCAAAGGCTGAAGCTCAACCACTGAGCCATGCAGGTGCCCCAGATTTCATTCTTTCTTATGGGTGGGTAATAGTACATTGTATATATATACCACTATTCTTTATCCATTCACTAGTCGGTGGACACTTGTGTTGCTTCTGTATCTTGGCCATTGTAAATAATGCTGCTATAAACTAGGGGTGCATGTATCCCTTTGAATTAGTGATCTTGTATTCCTTGGGTAGGTACCCAGTAGTGTGATTGCTGGATTATAAGATATTTATATTTTTAACTTTTTGAGGAACCTCCCTACTGTTTTCCACAGTGGCTGCACCAGTTTGCATTCCCACGAATGGTGCACGAGGGTTCCTTTTTCTCCACATCCTTGCCAACACCTATTGTTTCTTGTGCTGTTGACTTTAGCCATCTTGACAGGTATGAGGTGATAGATCATTGTGGTTTTGATTTGCATTTCCCTGATGATGAGTGGTGTTGAGCATCTTTTCATGTGTCTCTTAGCCATAATTCTTCTTTTAAAATTAAGGTTTAATACATACAGAGAAGTTCACAAAACAAATACAGAGCTCAAAAAAAAAATACAGAGCTCAGTGAATTATCACAAAGGGAGTTCTATGTAGCCACCAGCAAGGGCAAGAACTACAACACTGCCAAATACCATATGATTTCACTCATGCGAAATTTAAGAAACAAAACAAACGAGCAAAGGAGCAAACCAAGAAACAGATTCTTAACTCTAGAGAACACACTGATGGTTACCAGAGGAGAAGGGTGGGAGGATAGGGTTAAACAGGTGATGGGGATTAAGGAGTGGACTTGTCACGATGAGCACCAGGTGATGTGTGGAAGTGTTGAAACACTATATTGTACATCTGGAACTAATATTACACTGTATATTAACTGGAATTTAAATAAAAACTCAAAGTTTAAAAAAAATAGAATATTGCCAATATTCATACCACCTCCCACTTTCCTGAGGAGAGCTGCTATCTTCATTTCTAACATGATAATTTACCTTTTGTCTGTTTTGATCTATGTGTAAGTAGAATCACCAAGTATATATTTTGGAGGGAGACTGGCTTCTTTTGCTCAACACTAAGTTCATGAGAGTCAGCCATGTTGTTCCATTCAGTTTTAGCATCTTCATTGTCATTGGTGTATAGTATTCCATGGTGTGAATACACTCAATTTATATATCCATTCTACTGTTGATGGACATTAGGTTATCCCCAGTCTGGGGCTATTACAAACAGTGTTGCTAAGAACATTTCTGTACATGACATTTTGGTGCAATGAACCTATAGCTCAATTTGAAGAGAATTTATATCTTGACAACTTTAGCCCTTGAACACAGTAATATCTACCCATTTGAGTCCTTTTTAATTTCTCTTAATAATATTTTAGAAATCTCATACATCAATCATTAGGTTCCTTCCTCAGCACTTGATTACCTGCTGTGAATGATATCTTTTAAGATTTTCATTATCTAAAAGTTAATTCCTAGCTATCCCAATTATCAGTTACTCCTACTCAGTTCCAAATCTACCCTTCTTTGCCCTATTTTGTGATACTGGAACTGAACCCTGTAAATATTTCTTTTTTGGCAGCTGGTATAATGTCAGTAGAGGGTACAGGAAGAATGCTCCAACACTTGGCAGAAGAAATACTGCTGGTATGCTTTCCTTCTTGCTTTTACAGCACAGCATGGTTGCCAGAGGTGTGTGGGAAATGCATTGGCACCCACTCTCTAGTCGACTTCACTGACACCACAGTGAATGGCTTCCTTGCCAGGAATGTGTGGGAGACACAGTGGTACACTGCCCAGAATGGGTTTTGCTGGCATCCCAGTGGGTAGCTCCATCCTCTTCAGTCCTGGCCTACCAGCTATAGACTAGCTTTGACATGAGCATCTTAGTGAACTTTCACCCCATCTAGTGGCCCACTGTCACTCTCTCTCCAGTGAGGTCTGAATCTTAGCCTTGGTGGGAGTAGGGGATTCTTTCAAGTTTTTTCCTTCTTTGCATATACTCTCTCAGCCTTAGAGATAGTAGCTGTTCCCTACAGTTTCTTTAGAGTTCTCTTTTAGCCATTTTAGTAATTTAATCACATTTTACTAGTTAATAATTCTTTATATTAAATTTCCCTATTTGGGAGCCCGGGTGGCTCAGTGGTTTAGCGCCACCTTTTGCCCAGGGCGTGATCCTGGAGACCTGGGATCAAGTCCCACGTCGGGCTCCCTGCAGGGAGCCTGCTTCTCCTTCTGCCTGTGTCTCTGCCTCTCTCTCTCTCTGTGTCTCTCATGAATAAATAAATAAAATCTTAAAAAAAGGATAAATTTCCCAATTCAAATTATTGCTGTGGTTTCTGTCTCCCAAATAGACTCTAACAGATTCACTGATATATAGAAATGCAATCCATTTCATTCTACAACTTGTTAAATTCACTTATTAATTCTAATATTTTTTGTATCTTTATTTTGGTTTTCTATATACTCAATTATGTTGTCTACACATAGTAATATTTTATTTATTTATTTCTAATTCTTATCATCTTATTTAACTTGCCTTATTGCAATAGCTAGCATCCCTAGTACAGTGTTGAACAATCTTGAGAGTAGACACCTGTATTAATTTCCTATTGCTGCTGTAACAAATTACCCTTGGCTTAAAAATAACACAAATTTATTACAGTTCTGGAGATTAGAAGTCCAAAATCTGTTTTTGCTGGGCTAAGTCAAATTGTCAGCAGGGCAGGTTCCTTTGGGAAACTAATAGGAGGATCCAATTTCTTCCCCTTTTCAGCTTCTAAAGGCTGCCTATATTCTTTGGCTTGGGGTACCTTCCTCCATTTTCAGGGTGTATCATTTCTATATTTGCTTCCATCATCATATCACCTTCTCTTCTGACTCCGACTCCTCCTACATCCCTCTTATAAGGACCATTGTGATTATATCAATTCCACCTAGATAATGCAGGATAGTCTCCCTAGGTCAAAATCATTATTTTAATCACATCTGCAAAATTCCTTTAGCCATATGAGGTAACATTTGCAGATTCTAGGGATTAGGATGTAGACACACTGGGGGATAGGAATTATTCAGCATCTTTCTCTCATTCCCAATCTTAGAAGAAAAGGTTTCTTTAAAAAAAAAGATATTTATTTATTCATGAGAGACAGACAGAGAGGCAGAGACATAGGCAGAGAGAGAGGCGGGCTCCATGCAGGGACCCTGATGTGGGACTCCATCCTGGGACTCCAGGATCATGCCCTGGGCTGAAGGCAGACCTCAACCACTGAGTCACCCAGGCATCCCAAAGAAAAGGTTCATTACTCCATCAAGTGTGCTATTTTCTATAGGCTTTGATAAGATTTCCTTTATGAAATTAAGGAAATTTGCTTCTATTTTTAGTTTTCTAAGTATTTTCTAAAACCATGAAACCAAGGTAAAATAAATCCAACAAATTTTTCTTATTTTGAGAGAATCATGACTTCTTTAATTTTGTCAAAGCAGTGAATTACACTGATTGGTTTCTGAATGTCAAAACAGCCTAGAATTCCTAACATTTCTAGAATAAACCAAACTTGGTTGTGATATGTTAACCTTTTGCTAATATTTCATTTAGGAGCTTTTTCATCTAAATTTATGTGTGAGATTAGCCTTAAACTTTTCTTTTCCATAATGTTCTTGCTAGATTTTGGTACCAAGGTTATGCTGACCTCCTAAAATAATCTTGGAAATGTTCTTTCTATTTACATTCTCTGAAGAGTTTTGTAATACTGATTTTATTCTTAAATGCATATTGTAGTGGCTAATGGAGCTATCTGAACTAAGTTTTCTTTGTGGAAATTTTCAAAATTTCAGATCCATTTTCTTCAACAGCTATAGGATTGTTCATATTTTCTTTTCGTGTCAGTTTTAGTGTGCGTGTGTGTGTGTACATATTTTAGGAATTTGTCATTTAATCTAAAGTGTCAATTATTAGCATAAGAGTTTCTATAATACATCTTATGAGCTTTTCAATATCTGTAAAGTCTGTAGTAACATTTCCCCTTTCAATTCTGGCATTAGTTTTCTTTCTCTGTCTCCTTACCAGTTTTATAAAACTTTACCAGTTTCTTAAAAAAACCTTTATTTTTTTACTTTGTTGATTATAGTTTCATCTTTTAAAATTTAAAATATACGCATGTTCAGTGCTTCTCTAACTTGCACGTTACAAGTTTTGATATGTTGCATTTTCATTATCATTCAGTTGCAGAATTCTAACTTCCACTGTTATTTCTCCTTCAATCTAAGGGTTATTTAGAAGTGTATTGGTCGGGATCCCTGGGTGGCGCAGCGGTTTGGCGCCTGCCTTTGGCCCAGGGCGCGATCCTGGAGACCGGGGATCGAATCCCACGTTGGGCTCCCGGTGCATGGGGCCTGCTTCTCCCTCTGCCTGTGTCTCTGCCTCTCTCTCTCTCTCTCTCTCTCTCTCTCTCTCTCTCTCTCTCTATCATAAAAAAAAAGAAGTGTATTGGTCATTTCCAAGCCCCAGGGAACTTTCTGGCTACCTTCTGTCAATTCACTCTGACAGAAAATGTATTCTGTATGTTTCCAATACAAAATTTGTTGAGATTTGCTTTCTGTTCCAGTTTATAGTCAACTTTTGTAAGTATTCCATTTGTGCTTGACAAAAAATGTGTATTCTGCAACGTTGGGTCCAAGGTTCTATATATATATATATTTTAGGAAAAATCTGCTAATCTTTTTGTCAGTTAATTCATTTAGTTAAAGGAGGTATTAAAATCTCCCACTATGATGGTAGATTTTTCTACTTCTATTTGTTCTGTCCATTTTTGTTTTACATATTTTTGAGGCTATATGAATAGCTACATGCACATTTAGAATGGATTCAATTGGCAAACTGAACATTTTATCATTATAAAGTGTCCCTTTTATTTCTAGTAATATATATTTCCTTGAAGTCTACTTTGTCTAATATTAACAGAGTTGTTCCAACTTTGGTTTTGTGTTTTCATGTTATATATTTTTCTAAATGTTATTTTCCATATTTTGTACATATGAGTCCATTGTCTACTGGCTTCTATTGCAACTATTGAGAAGTCTGATAGCAGTCTAATTGTTTTGTCTTTGTAGTAGTGTGTATTTCTCTCTGCTTTTAAGATATTTTTATTTGCTGTTTGTGCTCTGTAGTTTCTCCACAAGTGTGTATGTGTGTGGGTTTACTTTTTTTTATCCTGTTTGAGAAACATTGTACCTCTCTACCTGTGAATTTGAGTTGCTCATCAGTCTGGAAAGTCTCAGCCATTATCATGTCAAATATATCCTCTCTTATATTCTCTCTTCCTGGGACCTTGAGTAGATGTATATTAGACTTTATTTCACTGTCCATAACTCTTAATCTTTCTAATTCTTTCATAAGCAGTATCTAATCTTCTGTTTAACCCATTCATTATGGTTTTTTTAAACAAGTGTATTTTTATATCTATTTGGTTCTTTTTCAAATCATTTTCAAATTCATGTCTGCAATTCCATCTTTTGTTTCTTTAAATATTTCTTAGTTTTTATTTGTATTTAATATTTCTAATATCTGATGTCTTTAGGAAACTAAATCTGTAGTTTGTTGTTTCTGTTGACTCTTGCTCATGGTAGCTAGTCTCCTTGTTTATTTCATGATCTTGGTTTTAAGCTCATGGGTGATCTCAGTCTTTGGATATACTAGTGACCAAAATTAGGGATGCATCCTTTGAACATGGATTTTCATTTGCTTTCCAAGAGTCAGGGGGCACTACAAACACAGGGCTACTTTAGCCACTTTGAGGGTCCAGGCTTAGTGTAGAAGCCTCAGATTCAGTTTATCCATCTCTCTATTATCCTATGGTTTAGTCTCAGGATTGAGTGCTGCACCAAAATTAGCATTTGCCCTCAAGATAGTCTACCATTTTGTGCTTGCTTGCTGCTCCATGTTCACACATGTGGTTTCAAAAAACCTTTCATGAGGAAAGAAAATGTTTCCTAGATATTTATCTTACTGTGAGGCTGGTAGCTGTATTAAAATTCTGTGTCCTCTGGAACCTAGCTGTTTCTTAACAGGACGGTCTTACAGAGTATCTAGTCTGAGACACTACCAGGATAGAAGAGTTGTTGTTTTAAGTTGAAAGAAACTTACTGCAAAGGAGGAATATGGCTTTTTTCAAACACATAATGGATTATATTTTATTTTTATCTCTATCTTTCCTTGCTAGTAAAAATAGAAAACTGAAATCCTAAGAAAGTAAAATAAAAAAAAAGAAAACTGATATGTATGTAAGCTGGTATGTTAAGAAATGGTAAGCATTACATAATTTTATTACCTGATTTACTGCGGTCTTGAAGTTGGAAAGCACGAATGAGATCAGTTTTTCGTGAAATCATTCTCTCTTTTAATATCCTGATGGCACTACTTTCAATAGTATTCACCCTATGTTAACAAAATAATTATTAGGTGAAAGACACATAAATCATCCCATTGTGTCTTGTTTTAATGTACTATGTTACCAGGTACCAGTTTCTACTTCAAATGGATTGCCTAATTTCACACATACCATGTTACTAGGTAGTCAATATTTATATATGTATGTATGTGTGTACACGCATTGTGAAATCTTAAAAGGATTACCACTGGTGTTCTCTTTTTGATTTCAAAGATTTACATGAGCAGTTGATGTGTGAGCATATCCGAGATAATTTTGAAAACAAGAATAACAAAGAAGGACTTGCTATAAGCACACATTAAAATTTACTGTGAAGTTGCTAAAACCAAACAGCAGGTATTGACACAAGAGAAGACAGATGCATGAGCAGAACATAATAGAAATTACATAAACATAGGGAACTATATATGGGGAAAATATATATGACAAAGAAGGTATTACAATTCAACAGAAAAGGGCAATTTTTTAAAAAACATAGTACTAGAATAGTTATCTGTCTGGATGCTAAACTACCTTAGACCATTTACAAAAATAAATTATTTTTTTAAGATTTTATTTATTTATTCATGAGAGACACAGAGAGAGGCAGAGACACAGGCAGAGGGAGAAGCAGGCTTCCTGCAAGGAGCCCGATGTGGGACTCAATCCCAGATCCCAGGATCATGCCCTGATCTGAAGGCAGACGCTCAACTGCTGAGCCACCCAGGCGTCCCTCTTTAAAAAAAAAAAAAAGATTTTATGTATTTGAAAGAGAGAGAGAGAGTGAGAGAGCACAAGCCGGGGGAGGGGCAAAGGGAGATGGAGAAGCAGGCTACTCACTGAGCAGGGAGCAGTATGCAGGGCTCAATCCCAGGATCCTGGGACCATGACTTGAGCCCAAGGCAGATGTCCAGCCACCTGGGCCACCCAGGTGCCCCCAAAATAAATTCTAAATAAAGGAGGAAGAAAGGAACAAAGTAGCTATGAGTCATATACCCCCCCCCAAAAAAATAGCAAAATGGCAGAGGTAAATGCAACCATATCAATAATAACAGCATATGTGAATAGATTTTTAAAAATAAAAAAGTGGGGACTGTGAGACTGGATTTTTACAAAGAGACCTAACTATATGTTTTCTGCAGGAGATATGCTTTAGTTTCAAAGATACAAAGAGCTTGAAAGAACAACAACAACAAAAGATGTACTATGCAAACATCAAACATAAGAGAGTCAGAGTAGCTCTACTAATAGCAGAATAGACTTGAAGACAAAATTTGTTACTAGAGATAAAGAGGGATATTTTATAATGATAAGAATCAGACAAGAAGATAAAACAATTATAAACATATACAAACCTAACAATAGAGCCCAAAACTATATGAAGCAAAAATGGTAAGAACGGAAGGGAGAAATAGACACTTTAACAACAATAATAGTCGGGGACTTCAATATTCTACTTTCAACAATGGATAAAACAATGAGGCAGAAAATACTAAGGATATAAAATACTTGAACAGCACTATAAATAAAGCACTCCATCCAACAACAGCAGAGTATACATTTTTCTAAAGCACATATGGAATATTCTCCACAATAGACCCTATGCTAGGCCACAATATGTCTCAATAGATTTAACATGATTAAAATCATACAAAGTATCTTTTCTGACTACAAAAGGAATAAATTAGAGATTAGTAACAGAAAGAAATTTGGAGAAATCACAAATACAAGGAAATTAAACAACATAATCCTAAATAAGAATGGGGCAAAGAAGAAATCACAAGAGAAGTTAGAAAATACTTTAAGATAAATGAAGATTAAAACACAACATGTCAAAACATATGAGACACAACTAAAGCAGTGCTTAAAGGAAAATTTATGGCTCTAAATGTCTATGTTATCTCAAATCGATAATATAATCTCTGCCTTCTAAAACTAGAAAAAAAAAAAGAGTAAACCAAAAGAGGGATAGAAAGAACAAAGAATAGAGAAAAACTGCAGGCATAAATGTTTTATTGTACTTCACAGGTATTTATACATATTGAAAGTTTGTGACAACCCTGAATCTAGCAAGTCTATCAGTGCCAATTTCAAATAGCATTTTGCTCACTTTGTGTCTCTGTCTCTGTATCATGTTTTGGTAATACAATATCTCAAACCTTTCCAATATTATTTGTTTTTTTAAAGATTTTATTTATCTATTCATGAGAGAGAGAGAGAGAGAGGCAGAGGGAGAAGCAGGCTCCATGAAGGGAGCCCGACGTGGGACTCGATCTCGAATCTCCAGGATCACACCCTGGGCTGCAGGCAGCACTAAACTGCTGCGCCACCAGGGCTGCGCTATTTTATTTGTTATAGTGATCTATGATCAGTAATCTTTAATGTTAGTATTGTAATTGTTTTGGTGTGCCACAAACTATGCCCATACAACACAGCCAACTTAATTGATAAATATCTGTTCTGACTGCTCTATTGACCAGCCATCCCCTCACCTCTCTCCCTCTCCTTGAGCTTTCCTATTCTCTGAGACACAGCAATATAGAAATTAGACCAATTAATAACCCTACAATGGCTTCTAAGTGTTCAAGTGAGAGGAGGAGTCACAGGTCTCTCCTTTTATATTTTTTTAAGTTTATTTATTTATTTTTTTAGTAATCTACACTCAACGTGCAGCTCAAACTCACAACCTCGAGATCAAGAGTAGCATGCTCTTCTGACTGAGGCAGCCAGGTGCTCCTCACTTTAAATAAAAAACTAGAAATGATTAAGCTTAGTGAGGAAGGCATGTTGAAGCCAAGAGAGGCTGAAAACTAAGCCTCTTGTATCAAAAAGTTAGTCAAGTTGTGAATGCAAAAAAAATTTTTTTGAAGGAAATAATTAAAAGTGCGATTCCAATAAACTCAAATGATAACAAAATGAAACAGCTGTGATTCCTGGGTAGCTCAGCGGTTTAGCACCTGCCTTTGGCCCTGGAGTCCCGGAATTGAGTCCCACATCGGGCTCCCTACATGGGGCCTGCTTCTCCCTCTGCCTGTGTGTGTGTGTGTGTGTGTGTGTGTGTGTGTGTGTGTTTCTCATGAATAAATAAATAAAAATCTTAAAAAAAGAAAATAAGACAGCCTTATTGCTGATATGGAGAAAGTCTGTGTGGTCTGGATAGAAGCTTAAAGCAGCCATAATATTCTCTTAAACCAAAGCCTAATCCAGAGCAAAGTCCTAACTCCCTTCAATTCTATGAAGATTGAAAGAGGTGAGGAAGCTGCAGAAAAAAGATTTGAAACTAGCAAAGGTCAGTTCACAAGGTTTAAGGAAAGAAGCCATCTCCACGATATTAAAGTTCAAGGTAGGGGATCCCGGGGTGGCGCAGCGGTTTGGCACCTGCCTTTGGCCCAGGGCACGATCCTGGAGACCCGGGATCGAATCCCACATCGGGCTCCCGGTGCATGGAGCCTGCTTCTCCCTCTGCCTATGTCTCTGCCTCTCTCTCTTTCTCTCTCTGTGACTATCATAAATAAATAAATAATTAATTAAAAAATAAAAAAATAAAGTTCAAGGTAAAGCAGCAAGTGCCGATATAGAAGCTATAGGAAGGTATCCAGAAAATCTAGCTAAAATAATTAATGAAGGTGACTCCACTAAACAACAGATTTTCAATGCAGATGAAACAGCCTTCTCTTGGAAGAAGATGCCATCTAGGACTTTCCTAGCTAGGGAGGAGAAGTCAGTGCCTGGCTTCAAAGCTTCCAAGAACAGACTGACTCTGTTAGGGGCTAATGCAACTGTGACTTTAAGTTGACGCCAATGTTTATTTGCCATTCTGAAAATCCTAGGGTCTTTGAGAATTATGCTTAATCCACTCTGCCTGTGCTCTATAAATGGATAAAGAAAGCCTAAATGACAGCACACCTATTTATAACATGGTTTACTGAATATATTAAAGCCCATTGTTGAGGCCTACTGCTCAGAAAAAAAATTCCTTTCAAAATATGACTGCTCACTGACAATGCACTTGGTCACCTGAGAGCTCTGATGGAGACATATAGTGAGATTGATGTTTTTGTGACTGCTAACACAACATTCATTCTGAAGCTCATGGATCAAGTTGGAATTTAGACTTTCAAATCTTATTATTTAAGAAATACATTTTTGTAAGGCTATAGCTGCCATAGATCATGATTCCTCCGATTGATCTGGGAAAAGTAAATTGAAAACCTTCTGGAAAGGATTCATTATTGTAGATGCCATTATGAACATTCGTGATTCATGGGAAGAGGTCAAATATCAACATCAACAGGAGTTTGGAAGAAGTTGATTCCAACCCTCATGGATGACTTTGAGGGTTTCAAGACTTTGGTGAAGGAAGTCACTGCAGATGTGGTGGAAACAACAAGAGAACTAGAAGTGGAACCTGAAGATGTGACTGCATTGCTGTCATGATTAAACTTGAGTGGATGATGAATTGCTTCTTATGGGTGAGCAAAGAAAGTAGTTTCTTGAGACAAATCTACTCCTGGTGAAGATGCTGTGAAGATTATTGAAATGACAACAAAGCGTTTGAAATACTATATACATTTAGTTGATAAAGCAGCAGCAGGGTTTGAGAGGACTGGCTCCAATTCTGAAATAAGTTACTGTGGGTAAAGTGCTGTCAAACAGCATTGCGTGCTACAGAGAAATCATTCATAAAAGGAATAGCCAATCAATTTAGCAAATTTCACTGTTGTCTTATTTTAAGAAATTGTCACAGCTGCCCCAAACTTCACCAGCCATCACCCTGATCAGTTAGCGCCATCAAGATTGAGGCAACACCCTCCACCAGAAAGATTATGACTGGCCAAAAGCTCAGATGATGATAAGCATTTTTTTTAGTGATAGAGTATTTTAAAATTAAAGTATATACGTTGTTTTTTAGATATGCTATTACATACTTAACAGACTACAGTATAATATAAACATAACTTTATATGCACTGGGAAACTGAAAAATTCTCTTGACTTGCTTTATTGTA